CTTGACACATCTGCAATCAACAACAATTATTGAAGATTTCCAGAGGACTTCACCGCACCGTGACGTCACAAACCAGTAGGTGGCAGTAGTGTTCTTTGACAAACATGGATGCCTCCAGTAAAGCACATTCACATGAAAATTACTCTGAATTAAAAACACTGATCATTTATTGAACAGGATGGAATAATTTCAGAATTAAAGAACTTTCAGAAGTTTGGATTCTGAATGTGAGCAGAGTTTTTCTTTAATTGTCACCCACTATGTAAGTTGTTTGAATGCAACTTTTTTCTAAATGAACAGTTTTGAAGGAAAAGTTGTCGCCATGATCTTTAATATACATTTAATCACAGAAACTGCTTTTCTGCTATCCTCCAGTCCAGGCGGTGGCGCTAAAGGCACATAAAGTTATTTACCGAGCATCAAATATAGAAGAGAAGAAGAAGCAGTAATGGCTGCCGGTGAGCAGTGAGGGCAGCAGGGTGATCGGTGTCCGCAGCATGGAGGCCTTCTATCCGCGCGCTCAGGCTGAAGCTCCGCAGCATCATGTTTCCGGCGGAGGGATCTACTATCCCAGCTCAGAGCAGCCGAACCACACCCCTCCACCGTGGATCCCTCCGTCCGCTAACTTCCCCGCACCTCCTCCAGGAGGAGCAGCAGCAGCTTTCGGAGGTTCTCGGTTTCCTCCTCCGTATGGATTCGGCCCCCCGCCGCCATTCGGCTGCCCTCCACCTGGACACCTCCCGGGAAGCGCCCCTGCCCGGGCAGACTGCGGTGATGGAGGGCTTCTCTACCGGGGCCCTCAGCACCTCCTCCAGGAGCGGAGCAGCGGCTGGGAACCAGAACCGGAGGATGAGGAGGAGCTGCAGAGGAAGCAGGACCGCCGGTGGGTGGCCCGGTTAGTGGGGGGGAGAGGAGCCCGCGCGCCGCAGCGGCCTGAAGGAGGATCCCTCCCCGCCTTCAGGGAGGCTCTGTACGGAGCAGCTGGGCTGCTCTCCCGGCTGCAGCATCTCTGCGGCCTCCTGCAGGAGCTTCTGCAGGAGGCAGGAGGAGGCTGGGCGGAGTCCTACCAGATGGCCCTGGAAGCAAAGACTGAGCTGCAGCAGGAGCTGCAGAGACTCTCTGACCCCCACAGATTAAATCAGCTGAAAGCTAAAGGGGCCCGCATCGCCAGGAGGAGGGCCCGGAGCCTGAGGGCCAAGAAGGAGCTGCAGATGGAGGAGAAACTAGCAGCAGATCTGAGCTCTGAGAAGGAGGCCTCCATAGATAAATGGAGGAGCAGACAGATCCAGAAAGAAGAGGAGAAGAAGAAGGTAATAGTTTCTAGTTTAGAGATGTTAATGAGGCAACAGGAACCAAACTACTGCCACCTGCTGGACATTTAAAGGCACTACAGGCAGCTGAATAGATCTGATGACCTAGAATAGAACAGAATAGATTTGAATAGAATTCAACTTTAGTGTCATTGCACTTTCACAAGTATAAAGCAACGAAATGTGGTTTGCATCTATCCAGAAGTGCTAAACAGGATAAAAGTATTATTACAGGTGTGTACAAGCAAAGTAATAGTTAGGGATTGTAGCAGTTGTGTATAAATGGGAGCTACATTATACCAAATATACAGGAATGTTAGGAAAAAGGATAATATATGTATTAGCGGGTTTATAATACAATATAAATAATGGCAGATAAGATTCACAGATAGTGTGTGAGTGTGAGGACAGTCCATATGTTATTATTGTATGGGGGGGGGTACAGTCCTTATAGTTGTGTCAGGAGGCGTTCAGGAGCGTGACAGCTGTGGGAAAGAAGCTGTTCCGGCGCCTGGTGGTTCTGGTCCGTGGGCTTCTGTAACGCCTTCCAGAGGGCAGGGGGGAGCAGGGTGTGAGTGCAGGGTGAGTGAAGTCCTTGGTGATTTTCTCGGCCCTTTTCAGACATGGCTTCCTATAGATGTCCTTGATGGTAGGGAGCGTTGCCCCGGCGATGTGCTGGGCCGTTTTCACCACCCTCTGCAGCGCATTCCGGGGGGGGCATGATCTGAGGCGTGCTAGGACCAGTCGCTCC